CTCAGATGGAGGAAGGGACTTGCCCACAGTCGTGGGACAATGTTGAGGCAGAGATGATGCCACGAACCAGATTCCCTAGTCTTTCCTCTCTTTCCAAAGCCAACTTCAAGCTCTACTCCCGCTTACAAAGCCTCTCTGGTAAAGTGGATGTGAGCGGTGCTCTCACCCGGGAAGGGAAGGGCAGCCACAGACAGGGACCCAGGACCTCCACCTCCTAAGGAAACAAGTGCTGGGCCATAATCCAAACCAGTAAGGGCTGTGGTGGCTCATTCGATGTGTCAACTTGACTGAGCTTCAGAATGTCCAGAGAGCTGGTAAAGCATTACTTCCGGGCGTGTCTGTGAGGGTGTTTCCAGAAGAGGGGCCTGAATAGAACAAAACAGTGGAGGAAGGGAAGATGTGCTCCCTTTGCTTAAGCTGGGACATCTGCCTTGTCCTGCCCTGGCACATCGGGGTCCTGATTCCAGGCTTCGGACCCCGAATTACACCACAGGCTTTCCTCCTCTCGCTTACAGGTGGCAGATTGTAAGACTTCTCAGCTTCCAACACTGTATGAGCCAATACCTGTACTAAATCTCTCTACTCTGTCTCTTTCATAAATATGAGAGAGAGAAAGAGAGAGAGCTCATTGGTTGTATGTCTCTGAGATGCTGACATCCAGCTTTTGCTCTTTCTGTTACTTTGAACACTGGATTTCATCACTGACAGATCCAACACCCTTATGCTAGCGAGTAGTTCTTTTTTTTTTTTTTAACTTTTTAATGTTTAATTAGTTTTGAGAGACAGACAGACAGAATGTGAATGGGGGAGGGGCAGAAAGAGAAGGAAACAGAATCGGAAGCAGACTCCAGGCTCTGAGCTGTCAGCGCAGAGCCTGACCAGGGTCTCGAACCCACAAACTGTGAGATCATGACCTGAGCCGAAGTCAGACGCTTAACCGACTGAGCCACCCAGGCACCCCTAGCACATAGTTCTTAACAACCCTTTCAGTCTCCTGAAATAAATTTCACAGATAATATAATCAGATCGTACAGAGAACTTAAAACTTAAGTGTCCCAATGCAATACATTAGAAGTAAAAGGTAGTTTATGATAAAAGAATATTCATTTCTGTATGAAAAATGCTTCAGTAAGACCTCCCTAGAGGTTTGATGAAGCAGTCAGAGGCTTTCACCTCCTAGATACTGAGTAATAGATGCATTTAAGAGAAGTTGCTTTCTGTTTATATTTGTCTTCCTGAAAATAAGGATTAAGCATTGCCAAGAGGGTAAGATTTTCCAAAATGCTGAACAACTCTGATACAATTGCAAAGAAAAAGCACAGCCTTCCCAGCATGTGTCTGCTCGGGTGCCGCCCTGGAAAACGAAAAGTGTCCAACCAGGGAAGACGGCTTTGTGTTCCCCCGTGAACGTGTCAACGGCAGGCTGAGATCACTACACGATTTCACCCACAGCAGTGCCTGGCAGCCCGCTGGCAAGTCGTGGGCGACGCCTGGCACCTCACTGTCCGTGCAGGGCTGTCCCGCGGTGCAGGACACGCAGCATCACTGGGACGAATGAGAAGGCCCCAGCGTGCCCAGACGCCCGCGAGGCGGCAGTGCCGCCCAGGAACCCCGGGCCGTCCCCCGACTGCCCTTGCGCCACTGGGTCAATGTGCCCACCCGCCTCCGCGGTCCCTTCCAGCAAGGACAGCGCATGCCCACCGCTTCCTTAGGCCCCGTGGGAAGAGCCGTTCCTGCGGGATGCCACTAGGGGGCGCCCTGCGACGCCGGATCGGCCGCGTGCAGGTTTGTGACCGGTTGAAACGTCTGCAGATACCAAGTGCAGGCGGGTTGAAAACACCGTGTGAGACTGAGATACCACCTCACGCCGGCCAGAGTGGCTAAAATGAGCCAATCAGAGGACTCTAGATGCTGGCGAGGATGTGGAGAAACGGGCTCCCTCCTACACTGTTGGTGGGAATGTAAACTGGTACAGCCCCTCTGGAAAACAGGGTGGAGGTTCCACAGGAAACTAACACTAGAACTCCCCTAGGACCCAGCAATAGCACTGCTAGGAATTTACCCAAGGGATACAGAAATGCTGAGGCATAGGAGCACATGTACCCCAATGTACATAGCAGCACTCTCCACAATAGCAAAAACATGGAAAGAGCCTAAGTGTCCATCAACAGACGAATGGATCAAGAAGATGTGGTTTATCTATACCATGGAATACTACATGGCAATGAGAAAAAATGAAATCTGGCCAAGTGTAGCAACATGGATGGACCTTGAGGGTGTTATGCTGAGCGAAATAAGTCAGGCAGAGAAGGACAAATATCATATGTTTGTACCTATAGGAGGATTAGGAGGAACTTAACTGAGGAACAAGGGGGAAAAGAAGGGGGAAATGGTGGGGAGAGGGAGGGAGGCAAACCATGAAGACTCTAGAATACTGAGAACAAACCGAAGGCTGATGGGTGTGGGGGGAAGAGGGGTGATGGGCATGGAGGAGGGCACTTGTGGGGATGAGCACTGGGTGTTATATGGAAACCAACTTGACAATAAACTATTTGTAAAAAAAAAAAAAAAAAAGGAAAGAAAGAAAAAGAAAAAAAACACAACGCCATGAGAAAGATTTCACGTTGGGCCGACACTGCGCTAAACCATCTGATCTTCGGCAGCGCTGTCCAGCTGAACAGTGTGGCAATGGCTTCTCCCTTGTCCCAGACAGTACAGTCCCATATGCAGACAGCAATTTGAATAGCCTCCCAGAAACACCGGTGGGGACACGCTGGCCTCTCCTTCCCTCCTGCCACACCAACCACGCTTCTCTAGAAATAACAATAGACGGTCTTCCTGGGAGCCCACGTGTCGTTGCCCTGGCCACCTTACATGCACTTATTTTCTCTTCACCAATAGCGCTGGGCCCATGATAAACAGGATGCATGAGGAAACCGAGGCACAGGGAGCTGCGGTGACTTGCCCAAGGTTACATGGCCGGCGAATGGCAGGGAACCACCGAGCTGTGGAACGTTCGTGACATCAGGGCGAGGGGCCTCGCGTCGGAAGGAGGTGCTTTGGGGTGACTTAGCCGCCCCTGTCCTTCAGGAAAACAAGGCACTGTGCATCCAGCTTGTTTGTTCAAAATCTGCTGAGGGCAGGAGGATGGTGAAATAAAAAAAACGCCAACAAGAGCAAAGAAGCCCTGTGGAATATTTTTACATGCAGCCTTGGGACTCGTTTCGTTCATGAATTCATCCAGGGGCCGACCGCCTGGGTCTAGCTGCACATGGGCGTGAGACCTGGGACAGGGCAACATCGAGCCCACGTTTTTGACCTTGGCTGAGTGTCAGCGTCCCCGTGGGACTTAAAAAATAAGACTGCTATCGGGGTCTGCCCCAGGCCAACTGAGTCAGACGCTCTGGAAGTGGGGCCCAGGAACACACGGTTAGGGGTTGCTTCACCTCCCCAGGTGATTCTGACGTTCAGTCAGCATCGAGAACCAAACTCCTTTTTGCATAGCTGAGGTCCGGCCTGGAGAGGCTCCATGATATGCCAGAGGCTGAATGCTAAGGAAGCAGGGAGCCAAGTGTCCTCATTTCTATTCCAGAACCCATCAAAGGCTTTACTGCTGCCCCAGACTGGGACGGCTCCACAGGGGGTCAGGCAGCGGGGTGTGCGGACGCCTGGGGTGTGCGGCACACTCGGAGCCTCTACTCTGCTCCCCTCCGTCTGAGCTGGAGGGAAGCTCACACCTCCTGCTTCCCGGCAAAGGTCCTGTGGTCAGTGGTCAGGACTCCTAAGGAGAAGCATCCACTCCTCACCACCTCCACCCCGCAGTTTCCCCCATATTCATCAGGTGGCTGGGTCTCCAGATAAAACACTGGATACCCAGTAAAACTTGCACTTCAGATAAACTACCAGGAGTTCTGTAGTATAAGTATGTCCTGTGCAACATGTACAGGTTTATTTGTTTATTTGCACAATCTGGCAATCCTACCCAAAAGGGCACAGTGCCTCCTGGGGTCCTCTAGCCAGTTTGAGAGGGGGAACCAGCAGCTTGCCCAGACTACACAGCCCCTGGCCGCCAGCCAGTGCGCGCTCCCCAGCATCATTCAGCACAGACGGAAGTGATTATATTTTAATTGAATAAAGAGTTCTAGTTTGGGGGAAAATATAATTAAGAGAAATGTCTGCATGATTATTTTGTTCCGTTATCCCTGGCAGTTGATGCATGACTGTTTGGACCCTGGGATGTAGCTCAGACACACATTTATTGGATGGAGGTTCATGAAGCACCCGGATGAGCTCTGTGAGGCAATGCTTTCCCCAGATAGTGAGCATCGCCCCCTGATGGCAGCCAGCAGCCTAACGCAGCCGGGCATCTGGGCGGGGCCATGCCAGCAGGCTGGGGCTGGCATTACAGGGCTCTCGGACACTCAGGGCCTCGGCCTTTCTGGGGAGGCAGCTTCCCGGCCTCGGAGGACCGATTGGGATTATGCAACCAAATGCTTTTGGAAACTGAACCCGGTGAATTTGGCTGAGAGTCTGTTCCTTTGGCAAAGCTGCTGAACTATCTTCCATTGTGATTTTGATCTGAGCCTCAGGAAGTGTGTCTTTTTTAGTTTTTTTTAAGTTTATTTGTTTTGAAAGAGAGAAAGCAGAAGCCGGAGAGGGGCAGCAATAGAGGGAGAGAGAGAGAGAGAGAGAGCATCCCAAGCGGGGTCAGCACCATCAGTTCAGAGCCCAATGTGGGGCTCGATCCTGAAAACAGTGCGATCATGACCTGAGCTGAAATCTACAGTCGGATGCTTCACTGACTGAGCCACCCAGGTGCCCCAGGAAGCATGTTTTTTTTTTTTTTTTAATGTTTGTTTATTTTTGAGGGGGAGAGGCAGAGAGAGAGGGAGACCCAGAATCTGAAGCAGACTCCAGGCTCTGAGCTGTCAGCACAGAGCCTGACACGGGGCTCGAACTCACCAACTGGGACATCATGACCTGAGTGGAAATGAAGAGTCAGGCGCTTAACTGACTGACCAACCTGGACATCCCAGGAAGCGTGTTTTTCCAAAAGGGCATCCCTGGATGTGAAGGAGGAATTGCACTTCCTTGTCTGGACCAGACTTCTTGCTCTTCCTGTCCCCCAAATCGGTCCCTGCCCTTGGGTAACGGCTTCGCTGTCCTCCCTGCCACCCAGGAGAGAAAGCTGAGAGGCACTCCAGTCGCATGGACCCTGGTCTGATCTCTCCCACCAGACCTCGAGTGAGTTCCTGGAGAGGCCTGCCGGGTAAGAGGCTGCCCTGTGGTCTGGTCCAGGGAGACAAAGAGGCTCCCGGGGTTGGAAATGGGGGAGGGGGAAATGGCTAGAGCGGCACTCATAAGCGTTCATCGACTGGTAAGCCTCGGAGATCAAGGGGGAGCAGAGACTGGAGAGCACACGCACTCCCGGGCGTGGGGGTCTGCTCCATGGGAAGCCGGGAGGGACTGGGGACGGGCTTTGCTTTCCTCGGGTTTGTGGCTGAATGATTGTACACGGGACTGCAGAGCAGGCAGGTAACCCATCACGGGGCCAGAAAGCCCGGAGCCCGCAATGGACATTTGGGTCATCGTGCGTGGGACCCCAGGGACATGCATGAGACAACGCCCCCCCCCCCAGAGGCTGGGCATCAGAGCCCCCAAGGGACACCAGCAAGGAAGAGGTGGCTGCGAGGCTGAAGAGTGGCCAGGGCCGTGAGCAAGCCGGAGAACCCCCGCGGTGAGCGAGGCAGTGAGCGAGTGGCCCACAGAGTCAGGTGCCATCAGAAAGCTAAGAGCGGAAGCGCCTCCATGCTGGGCCACCCAGCTCATGCCCCTCCTCCCTGCTTCCTCAAGAAGCAGCTCCGTCGTCCGCTGGATGGCGAGCTTGGCGTGGGGAGAGCCACACAGCTTGCGGCTGCCCACCCCGGTGTCTCCTGGTCACAGTGCCACACGGAGCCCCTCATGACACAATCCTCCCCCCAAACAGTCGCACCTTGGCCCCAGTCCTTCCAATGGCTTCTGCTTCTGTCACCTCCTTTGTTTTTCTTGACATCAATGAAAAGCAGATTTCCAGGGAGAGAGATGGAAAGGGACATCCCGCCTTGGAACTGGCTGTCCGAGGAGGGTAGCCTCCGTGCTGTGGGTGTGGACCGGAGGTCCGGGAGCCTCAGGGCAGGAGGAGAGTGAGACGGCTATTAGGTGATCACGAGCCCCCCAAGGAGAATGTTCTTTTATTCTCCAGACCGTGGTGTGGCTTCAGCGGCTGCTTTGCAAAGCTTAGGGAGGGCCCGGGGCGGCCTCAGCCTCTGAGCCGGGGTAGCAATCACGGACGAGGTGGAGGGACCCTGGGTGGTGGAGCTGGCCTGGTGGCCTCCTCCACCTTGGAGATGTAGCTCCGTCCCTTGCATCTGAAAAGGCAAAGCGTCAGCTCCCCCAGTCCCCCCACTTCCTGCCGGGCCGGGCCCCGGGGGCCATCCCTGCGGGCACCTGGCTCTGCGAGCCTGTGTCTAGTCTGCCCCGGGCCACGCCTCGATAGACACGGTGAGCCTCACGGACCCGCAGCTCGATCTCAAGTCCCACTCCTGACTGGCATTGTACGTCAGTCCCGGGGAGGCCGACCCCTGCCTCGGGGACAGGTGGACGTTGAGCCAGCGACACCGGGCCTCGTCACAGGCGAGCACCACGGTGCCCTCGGGGTTACTAAAGGTGCACCGGCTCCGGGCTGCCCTGTCCTGCGCCACCAGATCCCAGCTGTCCCCGGGCTCCCTGTCCTCCAGCCCCGGGGCCTGGAGGCCCAAGCGGTCCCGGGCGACGGGACACACCAGCTGCTCCTCCTTCAGGGCGGGCAGCGCCTGGCCCTTCAGGTAGGCGGGGCCGGCGCAGTAGGTCTGGACATTGAAGAGCCGGTCGGTGTACTGGTGCAGCCAGTTGAAGAGGTAGGCCAGGTGGCAGTCGCACTGCCAGGGGTTGCCGTGCAGGGCCAGGTTGAACAGGTTATAGTTGTTGTCAAAGATGCCCTCGGGGAGCGTGGTCAGCAGGTTCCTGGACAGGCTGAGCAGCTCGAGCTTGGACAGGTTCTGGAAGAGGGCCGGGTGCAAGGCCGTCAGGTTGTTGCTGCCCAGGTAGAGCTTGACCAGTCCTTGCAGGTCTCGGAAGACGCCGGCGGGGAGGTGGGTGATGGCGTTGTGCGAGAGCGTGAGCGAAGCGAGGCCGGAGAGCTGGGCAAAGGCACCCTCGCTGACCGCCTCCAGCCGGTTGTAGGACAGAGACAGGCTGACCAGGGCGGGCGTGCGGGCGAAGAGGCCGGCGGGCAGCGTCCGCAGCGCGTTCCCCTGCAGGTTCAGGAAGGTCAGGTTGCCCAGGGAGGAGAAGACGGCGAGGGGCAGGTGCCCGATGGTGTTGCGCTGCAGCCACAGCTGCTCCAGGCGGCCGAGCCCCGCGAACACCGCAGGCGGCAGCTCCGAGATGGAGTTGCCGTCCAAGAAGAGCTCGCGCAGGCCGCCCAGGTGGCCAAACAGGCCCCGAGGCAGGCCGATCAGCGCGTTGCTGCTCAGTCTCAGGCTCTGCAGGCTGCCCAGGGCCTCGAACAGCTCCTCGGGCAGCTGGGCCAGCTGGTTCTGAGCCAGGTTGAGGGTCTTCAGGCGTTTCAGGGGCCAGAAGACCCGGGCGGGCAGGCTCTGGAGCCGGTTGCCTTGCAGCTGGAGAGAATCCAGGGCGCCCGTTTGGTGGAAGAGGCCCTCGGGCAGAGCCTCCAGCATGTTGAAGTTGAGCGTGAACTTGCCCAGCGAGGTCAGGTTGGAGAAGCTGTCGGCGCTGAGGTTGGAGAGGGCGCTGCCGGTGATCTCCAGGTCCTGGAGCCTGGGCAGCCCCCCGAAGGCATCCGGCCCGAGGTGGCAGAGCTGGGTGTTGAGGAAGACCACCTTGGTCAGGTTGGGGCTGCCGCTGAAGGCCCCGGCTGCCAGAGTGCTGAACGAGGTCTCCACGAAGACGATGTCTGTGGCGTGCGGCGGGATGTCCCGAGGGACGGCAGCCAGCCCCTCGTCGGAGCAGAACACCTCCCGGATGAAGCAGTCACACCCCTCGGGGCAGGGCCGGGCGGGCCTGGCCAGGAGCAAGAGGCAGAGCCCGGGCAGCCAGGCTCCGGGCCGCATCTCCTGACCGCGAGGGAAGAGAAAACAGAAGTGACACCTTTGTCAACGGGCAGGGCAGGGGCGCCTGGGTGGCTCAGTCGGTTGAGCATCAGACATCGGCTCAGGTCATGATCTCACGGTTCGTGGGTTCAAGCCCCACGTCAGGCTCTGTGCTGACAGCCCAGAGCCTGGAGGCTGTTTCAGATTCTGTGTCCCCCACTCTCTCTGACCCTCCCCTGCTCACGCTGTCTCTCTCTCTCTCTCTCAGAAAAACAAAAAACAAAAAAACCCAAAGGGCAGGGCAGCCCAGTGGCCGGCCAGAAGACAGGGATCAGCTCTGTCTGGAAGGCCACCTGTGTGGACAGCCTGTTCGTGTTTTCAGTGGTTGTTTCCATCCTGCCTTGCAGCAGCCTTGCGAGGTCAGCGGGGCCAGCTCTGACCCCCTGATGGTGGGGGTGTCCCGTAGCCCGCACACAGGCACCCTGAAGGTTGGTGGCGGGAGCAAGACCCAGGCCGCCTGCACTTCCCATGCTCTTTCCAGAGGGGAGAAGGGGCGGAAAGGACATTAAAAGGCTTGGGAGAGAGGATTTAAGGAGAGCATGCGTGTTTTCACCCGTGGAATTTTTTAAGGTCGTGCGTAAAATACGGGCAGATTATTAGCAAGTTGGAAATGGTTAAACCATACCTCTTCCTGAGCTTCCAAACCTCAGCACATTTCAGAGCCTAATTACGAGGAGATTCTACCGTCTGCTCCTCTACATCCGCTGAGGGTGAGAGCAGCCGAGGACACAAGACAGGCTCTTATCGCCGGTGAGTCCCGTGCTCCTCACTACTGCTGCCCAGTGCTCTCCTGTCCACCTGCCTGTGCCGCCGCCTCGGAGCCCCTGGAACTTTCCAGCATTGTGTGCACAAAGAGGGTCCCAGACCAGTAGGTTTCTGTTTTTAAGGGAGGAGGGCTGAGTTTTTAGTCAACTACAAAAACTTTCTTTTTTTTTTAACTTTTTTTTTTTTTTTAATGTTTTATTTATTTCTAGGAGAGAGAGAGACAGTGTGAGCAGGGGAGGGTCAGAGAGAGAGGGAGTCACAGACTGAAACAGGCTCCAGGCTCTGAGCTGGCAGTCAGCACAGAGCCAGACGCGGGGCTAGAACCCACAAACCGCGAGATCATGACCTAAGCGAAAGTCGGACGCTTAACCGACTAAGCCACCCAGGTGCCCCTACAAAAACTTTCTTAATGCCAGTGTCCAAGCACAGGTCACGAAATAGTGCTGCAGATTACCAGCGTGTTTCATGGTTCAGACTTTTTTATATGTGCACCGCCAGCCAACAGGTAAAAATGGATACGTCTCACAGTAAAAGTCTAGATTTCAGAGGGCGCCTGGGTGGCTCAGTCGGTTAAGCGTCTGACTTTGGCTCAGGTCATAATCACTCTGTCTTTGGTTTCGAGCCTCGAGTGTGCTGACAGCTCAGAGCCTGGAGCCTGCTTCGGAGTCGGTGTCTCCCTCTCTCTCTGCCCCACCCCCGCCCGTGCTCTGTCTCTCTCTCTCCTTCAAAAAATAAACAAACATTTTAAAAATGTTAAAAAAAAAAAACAAAAAACCCTCCGGATTTCAGGATGATTTAGGGGCTGTGGGCTTACATTCCCGCATGACAAGACCAATTGGGACTTAGTTGCCCCATTAGAGGGTGTGAACTCCCCCGCACCCCCAGGTTGCTAAGCTCTCCCACCCATCGTTTCCATGGCTTGTAGTGGCTCAGGCTCTGTGAGTTCGAATACCAGCTCCATCACATTCTAGCTATGGGACCGTGGGCACGTTCCTTAATCTAGCTGTGCTTCAGTTTCCTTATCTATAAAACAGGGAACATAATAGTGCCTACCACGTAAGGGGAATTGTGAGGATTAAATGAGAACATATAGGCAAAAGTTTTAGGCCAGTGTCTAACACGGAATGAGAAATTAATCAAGTGTGTTAATTACGGTTAAAGGTTGCAAGCCTCCATCAGTAAAGAAAGGTTATTTGAACATCAAAAGAGTAGAAAGAACAGAATGCCCTTTCGACAGAATACATTTGGCTTTACCAAAAAAGACAGATAAGAAGGGAGGAAGGGAGGGAGGAAGGAAGGGGAGAGAGAGAGAGAGAGAGAAGAAGGAAGAAAAGAGAAGGTTATTTGAACATCAAAAGAGTAGAAAGAACAGAATGCCCTTTCGACAGAATACATTTGGCTTTACCAAAAAAGACAGATAAGAAGGGAGGAAGGGAGGGAGGAAGGAAGGGGAGAGAGAGAGAGAGAGAGAAGAAGGAAGAAAAGAGAAGGTTATTTGAACATCAAAAGAGTAGAAAGAACAGAATGCCCTTTCGACAGAATACATTTGGCTTTACCAAAAAAGACAGATAAGAAGGGAGGAAGGGAGGGAGGAAGGAAGGGGAGAGAGAGAGAGAGAGAGAGAAGAAGGAAGAAAAGAGAGAGGGAAAACGGAAGAAACACAGAAAGAAAAAACCCGTCCCCAGTAAGCGCTCACAACTGGCTTGATTTCGGAGAATCTGGACCCCAAAGCCTTTTGCTGGCTGCTTCTCTGCTGCCCTCTGCTGGCTGTCTCCTCCATCCCAAGATCCCACTTGTGGCCAAAGGGCTCCATATGCTAACACCATGCTTACAAAAGTCCCCTGTGCCCTCCTCCCGTTCAGACACTCAAGAACTCAGGTTTTCCAGGAATGTTTCTGCCTAATCAATAGAGAAGGGACCATTTGTCCCACAGAAAAGTGCATACCTCCCCCGAGGCTCCACTGATGCTTGCTGCTTTGTCCATACTGAGTAAGCCACAGGAGGTGGCCGGGAAAGACACATAGTAACCACACCTGCCTGCCACTCAGGCACAGGCGGAAAGTAACAAGCCTCAGACAAGCATATGTCCCTGGTTCTACAAGGCTTGGACCAGCGGTTACAGAGTTCAGCTTGAGCACAAGCCTTTATTCTCTTGAGGCTGTACGGCTAGGATACAGATAAGAAGCAGAGGTTCTAGAGAAAGATGAGACAGCCATTGACCCACCCCCTGGCCCCCCGGGCTGCCCTTGGGGACCCTGACGGACGACTTCCTTGAGCCCACGAACGAGGTGCCTGGTGGTGTGCTTCTCCATCTTGACAGCTAGCTGAATGATGGCTTTTTTCATGGGTGTCCTTCCTGTGAGGTTGGGGTGCTCCTCTCTGTGCTCAGTGCCCAGCACGGTGCTGGCTTACCACAGGCTTGGTTAGGGTTTGTGGAACCAAACTATATCGCTGGTATGAGCAGCGTGGGAAGCAGATGTGCCCTTCCCTGGCATGGATCAAGCCCGCGCGAATGCAGCCAGGCCGTGAGAGCAGACTCGAATGCTCCTCCTCCAGGGAGTAAGAGGAGAACAAGTTTTACTTTAAACGTGCCATAATGAGGGGCGCCTGGTGGCTCAGCCGGTTAAGGGTCCGACTTCAGCTCACGTCATGATCTCATGGTTCATGGGTTCGAGCCCCGCGTTAGGTTCTGTGCTGACAGCTCAGAGCCTGGAGCCTGCTTCAGATTCTGTGTCTCCCTCTCTCTCTGACGCTCTCCTGCTCATGCTGTCTCTCTCTTTCTCTCTCTCAAGAATAAATAAAACATTAAAAAATGAAAAAATAAATAAAAATAAACGTGCCATAATGCATCATAATGCATCCTGCCCCAGTAACTTCCCTTGCAAACCCCTTTAGTTCCTGGTTCTTTAAGACAGTTTCCTGAGAAACTTCCACTAGACTGGACATGAGAGCTCTGGAGGGAGCATATACAAGGGACCTCACGCACTGTCTGTCCCCACATCCCTAAGGACGTGCACTTCGTGACATGGTCAGCATAGGGAAGATGGACCTGGGCAGGCTGCCCTGGGCGCGGGGTACCTGAAGCATGGTTTCAAATGCGGGCACGTGGCTCAGTCGGTTAAGTGTCCGACCGCTGATTTCGGCTCAGGTCAGCATCTCATGGTCGTGAGGTCAAGCCCAGCATCAGGCTCTCTGCGGGGCAGGGGGCCTGTTTGAGATTCTCTCTCCCTCTGACCTTCCCCTGCTTTTGTGCACACTCTCTCCACCCCCTTTCTAAAAAATGAAAGGAAAAGAAAATGGGGGCACGGCCTCCGGATGGTATGTCCCTTTGAGTTCGCAAGCTTCTCACCCCTCGGAGGTGTCATGGTGGCAAGACAGGGTGAGAACAGGGCCTCGGACGTTCAGCAAAGAAAGAGCCCCAGTCTGCGGGGGTGGAGGAAGCAGCGGGCAGTACTCAGGGAGGGTGTGGGACACTGACCTTTTCCAAATGATCCACTCTCAGCCCAAGACTCCTTCCCACCACTCTAGAACGGCTAAGAGTTTGTGCTCTGGAGTCAGACAGTATGGGTTCAAATCCTGTCTCCTTCGCTCATTAGCTGGGTGGCCTTGGCTGAAAGACTTAACCTCTCTGTGCTTCACCATTCTTATCTTCAAGACAGCAAGCTCCAATACCACCTTCCTCATGGAGGTGCTCTGAGGATTGAATGAGAAAACGTGCGGAAAGCTGCCAACCCAGAGCCGGGCCCACAGTGGGTGTCCAGCAACAGAGCGTTAACAACCCTCACTATTCTGAGTTCGGGCCAGCCCAGCTTTGTTCTGAAGACGTCACAGAGGTTAGCTATGGAAAGCCCGGTGAAATCATCCAACCACCCCATTTATGGACCAGCAAGATGCCTCTCGAGAGCACTTTTTCTGGCTCTTTCCTCCCAGCCAAGGGAAATGTGTAACTGTTTTGTCCTTGGTTTAGAAGAGCACAGATTCTGATGGCTCTGGCTAGGGTGCCTGGACTTGGACCCCTTCTTCAAGTGTCCTTAAGAGCAGGTCACTGGCGTTTCTGGAGATGGGAAGTGCCCCAGCCACCGTGGAGGCTGGTACCAGAAAGGACTATGGGGCAGCGGCCGAAGATTCCTGCTTCTCATCTGAGAAACCATCTCTGCATTTATGCAGAGACCAGCCAAAGCCCACAAAAAATGTTC